AAGAATGCTATATTGAGGATTTTACAAACCTGAATTTTCAGAAAAAAATGGCCCCATTCACGGAGAGCAGATGATGAGGTAAATAAGGGGTCATTTTAAAAGGTCAAAGTTAAAAGGTCATGTAATACTCACAAATCCACAATTTACATCAACTATGGAGACAGATCGGCTTTCAACTTCTCCATTTCCGCTACTATGGAGACAGATTGGCTTTCAACTTCTCCATTTCCGCTTCTTCACACGTGGGGTAGCGTGCTAGGAATGGGAGTACCGAGTGCTGATATGCTGATGTGCGGCGAGTCATGTGATAGGAACCTCGACGCATGAGACGGGAAGACTTCGCAGTCATTAATGCAGAGTGAAGAGGGTGAGTGACCTCAGTAAGTATGCGATCAGGAAATTGCTTGACCGTTTTAAATTGTCGCTGTATTATAATGTCAGCTAAAAAAGCATAGGAAATACCGGCAGTTGAAGAGAGCATTCGGAGGCTACGTTTCAAAATGACTAGGTTTTTTTAAAGTAAGGCTAGAAAAATAACCGGAGAGCAGTAAAGAATAAGCGGGAGAATACAGACATCTAAAAAACGCCAGATTAGGGCTTGCGGTGTGTGATATGAACGCAAGCGGCGGATATAATATGATTAGGGCTTGTGGTGTGTGATATGAACGCAAACGACGGATATAATATAATAATTTGTGATGTTGATAAAAAGACCTTCTATATGAAGAGAAAATGTAAGGTTGGATGCTAGTGTAACACCAAGGTATCGGAAAGAGGATACTTCGGTTGGCAGGATGTCGATAATTTCAGGACTGGGAGAGGGTCGCAGTCGAAAAATACACTGAAATGACTTTCGTTCGTTAATTAGACGGCCATTTGCTGACGACCATGTTGAGACATGGTATAGACCATCCTTCAGTGTTTGGAGATGTGACTGATTTTTCAGGGATGGCCAACAACCATATCATCAGCATATTTAACAAACGAGCATTCGTTTGGCGATCGTTGGTCGTCAGTGTGGAGAGAGAAGACATGAGGGGAGAGTATGGCACCCTGAAAAACTCCACTGTTGTTGGGAAGGACCATGGATTTTCGCTCTCCGCACTGAACGAATTGAGTGCGGGAAGTGTAACAGCCCCCAGGCAAAGAGACAGTCCAGCCGGGAGAGCCGCATGCAGAAGTTTAATTAAGAAGGAGATGGCGTGGGATGGTAATAAATGCTGAGGAGTAGTCCAGAAAAGCATATCCCTATGCACGGCAGCACTTATCTAAATCTCTTAGAGCAGAATGGACTACTAGAGTAACAGCGTCTAGTGTACTACGCCTAGCCTTATACGCAAATTGGAAGGGATCGGAAAAATTAGAGGAAAACGGAATGATGATGTCTAAAGCGACTCGTTCTGCAAGTTTTAATATTGCAGAAGAGCAGGCAATTGGATGAAAAGATTTTGGACCAGTGGAGGAAGGT